TCTCGCTGGACTATTCTCCTTATCGGATGCCAAGGTGGCACAATTTACTTCAAAAATTAAATTATAAAAGAAAAGGCTTATACACCCTTATGACAAAGCCACCACCTTGCACATAGGGAAAACAGAAAACTGAAGATAGAAATATAAATTCCACAGTGTCAAAGACTATCTTAGGTCACTGTTATATATTCCTATCCCATGTGTGGTGTCAAGGTGTCCTTTGAGAACTTAACAGAGAACGGCATTAGGTTGGGAAACAGTCACTGAATGTTTACAAATACTGACTGTGAGTTGACTTTATATACTTAAGATGAAGCAACTTTCAACAATAACACAGTAGTATTATCATGTATGTTCATTTTCTATATATTATACTAAACAGTGGTTTCTAATTAAAGTAGAGAAGGGATTTAATCAAAGATCTCAAATACCAAATTTTAATTTTGGACCACCAAATTGCAATCCTTAGTTGTCCAGTCATAACATTTCAAAAGAAATCCCAAACTATGTAGCCATTATGGGTATCAATTAACAGGATTCAGTTCCAAATCTAAAACAATTATGACACAGGAGATGTGGACTGGCTTCAATGCATGCTAGATGCCATACTTCATACAAGAACGTTTGATCCAGTGGGGGTTTTTTTTCTGCCAGAATAGTACACAGATCTTGTTCTGGGTTTTGCACAAAAGGTTTGACTCTTAGTAAGCTGGCTAGGATAATGAAGCATCATTAATCCGTACAAGATAATCTGTAAAGCATGAGGCTACAGTGAAAACAGAAATGCACCTGCTCTTGTTGATTTCCAGATTGCTGTCTCTATAATACAAAACAGGTATCACATTTTTTAACAGGATCTGCAGAATACTATTTATCTTGGCCAAATTACAAAACATTAGTCACTTATATGCCTTTGCCAGAAAGGCTACTTTTATCTATTTCTTGAGTCGATTTGGTCATGTCCAACTTTGTGACCCCATTTGGGTTTTTTTTTTTTTGGCAAAGATACTAGAGTACTTTGCCATTTCCTTCTCCAGCTCATTTTACAGATGATGAACTGAGGCAAACAGGGTTAAATGACTTGCCCCATGTCACACAGCTAGTAGGTATCTGAGTCTCAGGTCTTGCTGACTCCAGGGCCAGCACTTTATCCACTGCGATACCTAGATGCCCATTTATCCATTTAAGAATATACAAACAGAAGACCCATTTCTCCTTTTACCAATTGCTACAGATATAAAGCTTCCTAAAGATAGAATTTGCACTACTGATTAGAGAAATGCAAACAAAAACAACTCTGAGGTACCACCTCACACCTATCAAATTGGCTATTATGACAAAAGGAAAATGATAAATATTGGACGGGATGAGGGAAAACTGGGACGTTAATACATTGTTGGTGGAGTTGTGAACTGATCCAACCACAGAATTTGGAACTATGCCCAAAGGGCTATAAAATTACGCATACCCTTGGATCCAGCAATACCACTGCTAGGTCTGTATTCCAAAGAGATTTTTCATAAAAGGAAAAGAACCTATTTGTACAAAAATATTTATAGCAGCTCTTTTTGTGGTGGCTAAGAATTGGAAATTGAGAGGACATCCATCAATTGGGGAATGGTTGAACAAGCTGTGGTATTTGGTTGTGATGAAATATTATCATTCTATAAGAAATGACAAGCAGGATGATTTCAGAAAAACCTTGAAAGACTTATATGAACTGATACAAAGTGAAATGAGCAGAACCATGTTGTACATAGTAACAGCAATATTGTATGATAAAGAACTATGAATAACTTAGCTATTCTCAGCAATACAATGATCCAAGACAATCCCAAAGGACTCATGATGAAACATGCTATCCACCTCCAGAGAAAGAACTGATATTGTCTGAATATAGACTGAATCATCTTTCTTTCTTCCTTTCACTCTTTTTTTTTTGTTCAAGTCTTCTTGTACAAAATGACAAGTATGGAAATGTTTTACATGATTGCACACGTATAACCTATACTAGATTGTTTGTCATCTAGGGACAGAGGAGGGAGGAAAAGAAGGGAAGGGTAGAATTGGAACTCAAAACTTAAAAAACTGTAAAAAATTATTTTGACATGTAATTGGGGGAAAATAAAATATTTTTTAAAAAGATAGAATCTGAGCTAGTTTGAAGATATATGCCGAGTGAAATAAATAGAACCAAGAGAATGTTGTACACAATAACAGCCATGTTGTACAATGACTAATATTGATAAACTTAATCCTTCCCAGCAATACAAGGATCTAAGACATCTCCAAAGGTCTCGTGATGGAAAATGCTACCCACATCCAAAGAAACAACTATGGAGTATGAATGAAGATCGAAGCATACTATTTGCTATTTTTTTTCTTCTGTTGAGTTTTGCTTCTTCTTTCTGGTGGTTCCTCCTATTGGTTCTAATTCTTACTTACAACATCATTAATGTGAAAATTTGCTTAATAGGAATGTATATGTATAGCCTACATCAGATTGTGTGCCCTCTTAGGGAAGGAAGGGGGAGAAAAATTTTGAACTCAAAAGCAAATGGAAGTGATTGTTGATAAGTCAAAATAAATCAATAAAAAAATAAATGATGCTTTAAAAAAAGATAGAATCTGAGATAATTTGAAGATATCAAAAACATTTTATTAAAAATCCTGCCTATAGGAGATATAAAACAGCTCAAATGATCAAGAAGGAAAATAAGCACAATATGAAACTGAGTTTAAGGTTTTTTTGTGGTTCTGAAAATTTTAGAACTTTAAGATTTCAAATAAACATTTTAATCTCTTATTCTAAGTTTTATTAAAAAAAAATCACATGATGATCATTACCACTACTATAAAACTCCTATCAGAATATGGAATGAAGCCAACCTGGGAAAAGGTAAGCAAGATAGTGTGACTTCTTTGAGATATGATCTGTTTAACGAATTTTGCCCCAAAATTCAATCTTTCACTTAGACTATAATAATTATCTAATGTATCATACAGTTTGAGATACCACTCAATGACGCCTCTAGATGGCTATATTACATAAATGAGTTCTATCCTCATACTGCAGCATCAGTCCTGTATCTCTTGCTGTGGCTGTGAACAAATCAGTTAGCCTCTCTAGACCTTGGTCTCCTTAGCTGCAAAATAAGAACACTGGGACTAGATGATCTCTAAGGCTCATCTTGGCTCTATAATGCTATGATTAATATCCAGAAGAAACATCCTCTCTTCCAGAAAATTGGCTTCCCATCCCAATTCATCTATGTTTTCCTAGGCACTGAGGCTCAAAACATTTGAATCATCACCAACTTAGCTTTCTCCTCCATTAACCAATCAAAAATGTATTTATCATCTATTACATGCACAAAACTCTGCTAATTATGAGGGATACAAAGAATTAGAACCACTTATAATCCAGATGAGATAAGATAAGATAATCCAAACATGAAAATTTCAATAACATAAAAATTCAGCAACAAAAAAAGAAAGTTTAGATAGGATTATTTGGCAAAAGCTTCATGGAGGAGACAGATCTTGAGCTAGGCTTTGATAAGTAGTGAGAATGTCCCAGGCAGGAAAACAACTAGAGTAAAAGCACAGCAGCAAACAGTGTTTCAGAGAAGTAAATGGGTTGGGAGAAGAGTAGGGGGAGGGAATTGGAGGCAGGTGGTCATGGCCTTGAATGCCAAGCTAAGAAAGTCACATTTAATTCTGAAAGGTAGTGGGAAACCATGAGCAGAAAAGTAACGTGATAAAAGTGTTGAAGAAGCTTAGTCTGGCAGCAAGGAGTAGGTTATTTTGAAGGATGGACTAAGTACAGAACTAGTCAGGAGGTCATTTCGTAGTACAAGCATCAGGTGTAAGTTTCTGAACCAGAGCAACTCTGTGGAAGGGAGGCTGGCAAGAAGACAATGTGGAGGATGAGTGCCCAGGACCTGGTGAATGGTGCCCCAACCACCCAGCCTTCACACTGCCATCCCTGCCTTTGCCCAGGCCTCCATTGCTGGATTGCTCATTACGAGGTTCTGAGGAGACTCCCTTGCCTCCAGCTTCTCCTCACTCCAGCCATTCTTTATACTACTCCCTGACTGATTTTTGCCCAAGGAGCACTTTTGTCATGCCATTTTCATGGTTAAAAATATTTCATCTTTCCTTACTTTCTACTGTACCAAATCTAAATCCATATTCTGGATTTTCAAGATCTGGTTCCTCATTACCTGCACAAACCTTATTTTCTACTCTTCCCCAACACATTCTCCCTATTCAAAACAGAACGGTCTTGTCCAGGGGTGGGGAACCTGAGGCCTCAAGGACACATACGGCCCTCTAGGTCTTCAAGTGTGGCCCTTTGACTGAATCCAAACTTCACAGAACAAATCCCTTTAATAAAAGGATTTGTTCTGTAAAACTTGGATTCAGTCAAAAGGCTGCACCCGAGGACCTAGAAGGCCCCTTGTTACTCTTGTTACTGTAAAACAAAGTGCTCATTCCTGCTTGAGCTTTGTTCACGGTATCCTTGTGGCCTTAGAAGGCTTACTCCCCTTCTTTGCTATCCATCCAAATCCAACCAGTGCTTACAGGGTCCCTTCAAATCTTCTCTCCACCAGGACCCCTCACCAACTAATCCAGACCTCACTAATCTGCCTCTTCTGTGGATTCCTATAATATTTCAGGTCTGTAATACACAATTTAGCTACTGATTAAGATATCTCACATCATTTGCTATCAATTCCTATGTTAGTCTTGTCTCTCCAGTAAGACCGTGTATGCTTTTTAAGGACACAGAGGTATGTTTCTATCTATAACAATAATCACTTTCTAAAACTTTTTCTCTAACTTTGACCCTTGGAAGTTCAGAGAAAATGGGAAAAGGTGATTTGGTTCACCTTACCACAACTATTATAACACTCATACATTTCTGAGAAAAGTTTTGTAAAACAATAGCTGTCAGACCAATTATGTCATCAACTAGCCTTATAAAATACACTCACCGTTGAAAGGGTTAATTTCTGCTGAAATTCGTGAAATAATGGCTTCTTTAACTTCTTTTTTCTTTACACATCGAATCCCCAAATTCTGAAAACTAGAACCGAGCAAAATAAAGAACTATTAAGGAAATGATTTTTTAAATCACAAAAACAAGAGTGAGGTCCGTAATGACCTACTGAATACTGCTAAAACTAGTCACTTGAATACTAACAGATGGTGATCTATAAGTGACAGAAAGCAAAAGGAAGGTAATATTAAGTTTCTAAAGTATACATTAAAAGGAAAAAGAAATGGAATGTACATTTTTACACAAGATATTTGTAAATGCATTCTCACAGTATGTCCATGTCAAATTTACCAACCCAGAAAACAAAGTGTAATCACCAAGATCAGAAGACTAAAAATCACAAAGAGTGACTAACAGGTGCTTACAAAGGATTTGAATAGTTGATATTATGTCACTTTAGAATGTGTGGTCCTAGACAACAGTGAAATATCATTTGTTGTACATAGTACTTCATTATCAACTACAACATTATTTATCATCAATATGGGAGTAATATCATTCAGAAGAATCAATGGGAAGTTAACAGATTTTGATACTTAAAAATTAAACATTTACAAAGTTTCAAAATGTCACATTCATGGAAAAGTTCTGAATAACTATCAACACTACTCATTTGCATGTGACTAGTAGTGATCACTGCCAGGGGACTGCCCCACCACCACCAGCAGTCATACATAGTCCCACATGGAAAAACCATTACATCATTAAAGTTCGGTGGATGTTGAACAAGGAAGCAAAGCTCTGCTATAATAATATTACTGTTCCTCCAAATTTTATTTAGCCATTCAAGTAAGCTTTTCTTATGGGCCCTCTCAATTGTCATTAATCTTTTCCTCCAAGTACTCTCAGAAAATATCCAATTCATATACACTTGGCTTTGCTTAATTTGCACCTGAAATTACTTTGAAGTTTCCTTTCTCTCTCTATCTAATGAAGTTGTGTTTTCAATAAAAGATTCTACTTTGTTGAAATTCCTGAAATCATATAACCTCTTCCTCAAGAGTATTCATACCTTTATCCACAGATAGTAAGGCGGTCTTTCAATTTTTCTATAAGAAAGGGTTCGTCAGTGAAATACTCATTTGAAAACAAAGTCAAGTAATTTCTAAATATATTATTTAATTAGACTTCACTGTTTTTCATATAATTTTAGACCAGTAATGATTGTAGCATCATAGATTAGAACATATCTAGTCTGACCCCATCTTTCAGAGAAGAAATTGAGACCCAGAACTTAAGTAATGTGTTAAGGTCCAAATCTCTCTAACCTATCTAGCAGAACCAGAATTTGAACATTGTTTTGACTTTCACTGTGCTCTTTCCACTAGACTACATTGCCTTTCTATATATCCTTCAAGGTAAATACACATTCAGATTTTATGTTTATCCAAAGTAAAATGATCTCATCCCCCCCCAAAAAAGATAAAGGTATACCACTAGTATTACTGACATTATAACAAGTATTTTTTAAATGGATTTACAAGAATCAATTGAAAATCCTAAGCACTGTATTATTAGTACACATTAAAAAATTTTTTTTCATCTTAGGAATGGAAAAAAGAAGGCAGTCCAGTCAGCACAATGTTCTAATAACAAATACTACAAATCCAGGAGACAGGAACATTAAGGGGAACAGGTTTTGCTCTTGACTCAGATTCTCTTTACCTCTTTTTCCATTCATAGTTTAGCCTAACCCAAGAAATACGGAATATGAAATTAAACAATGTCCAAGCAACTACAAATCTACAAAGTATTTATAACTAATAATAAATTACAAAGTATAAACACATCATATCCTTTACATGGATAAACACAGCTAATATGTACCCAAAGCCAAAAATGACAAATTAGCAAAGTCATTAATTACAATGCTATGTTACACTTCTACTGTCAATTGGCTGCCCCTCATTATAGTCATAAGTGCCAGAAAGAAATATCAGTGCACATGACTTATACATCTTGCTTTTGTAGTCACAGAGGCATATTTCATGGATGTAGAAAACAAATACTTCCTGGTAAATACAATTTCAAAGACACCAAGACAGTTTCCTGATTTTCTAAAAACTGCCAGTTTGCTTGAACAAAAAACTCCACCTTACTCAGAAAGCTGTTATTCCAGTGAATATGCAAATTCTTCCACTCTATTTCCCCTTCCTCCTCTTCCTAGCCTACCCTTACAAACATTTTAAGTAGTTGTTGTTATTAAACCTTAGGGAGAATGGATTTCAGATATTTTCCTAAGAACAGGTTTTAACTGGGAGTTGAGGGGTGGGATGGGATGGGAGAGATGAGGAAGAAAGTAAGATGAAGATGCTAAGGACTAGAGAAAGAGGGACATGGAGGACAAGCAAGAGCACATAATTGAGAGGCTGAAGGTACCAAAGACACTAGCTAGGTTCATCATTTTCAACGTTAGCCGCAGTGAACATTTTCACATGACAAATCTAGTCAAGGCACAGACTTTCACATAAGCCCTTGATGTATTATTACCTTATAAAAGGAGTACAGACAGGACTCTTGATTCTTGAATTTGCCAAATGTGTTATCTTGGATGGATTTTAACTTTTGATAGGTTATTTTGGTAATAATTATGTAATTAAAGAGTCTTAATTAAAGCGAATAATATATCTACTAACCAAAAGTCATTTTCTATCAGTTAACATTTAGGTATCACATATAAATGTCCACAGTAACTACTACTCTTTTACCAACTAATTATCTACTACAATCAGTTTAGTTTTTAGTACTCTGATTTCTATAGACAATTTATTTTCAAAGGTAAATCTATGGATTAGAAGAAACAAGGCACTAAACTATCATTAACAAAATAAAAGGAATAATCTTGGAGTATCAAGGGAGAAAAATTAGAAAGGATTAGGGAGATGAAGGAGAAGGTGAAGGGAGAAAGGGGTGTGATAAGAAAAAAGGCACACTCATAAAAGAAAGCAAACAATCATTTTTTAAAGTAATTAACATCTAAAAAGTATTTTAATGTTGGACAAATATTCAAAAAAGAGAAAAGAACAACCCATAAGTATGAAAAGATATTCAGTGAAATATTTTCTACTAGAGCTAAATACTCTTTTAATACTTTTAAAGATCCATAATTTCAATGGTATTTTCACCAATGCATAGCAAAATCATTTCATGCTTATTGAATCACTTAATGAAATTCTCTAAACAAAAATAAAATTAAGTGATTTACATGTTAGCACAAAGTCTATGCCAATGGAGTTCAAGCTGTGGCAGACATTACACTAAACTGGAAAGAGTTCAAATCAAGGTTAAGTTATTTATTTGCAGTTTATCTCACTAGAAAACTTAGGATCTTAACCTATGTTTCAGCATAGTGTCAACCCTGCCAAGAACAGCTGTTTAAGTGGACAAAAATTCTGTATTAAAAGAAACTGAAACTAGAATTCATGTACATGACTGACAAATCATGACAGAAAGATATGACTTGTTAACTATTTCTCAAAACTTGCAAATCTTTAATTTTATTACCAGGGGTCCTCTGCCTCCACCAATATTAATCTTTATCCCTTATTATTCCAATAGTTGGTCTTTCAAGATGTGCAATTGACAAAAATTTCATTATTCTGTGACCGACCTAGTAATGAGATTATGATTAAGTTGTGACATTTCACAACTTATTTGGGACAGTTGTCAAACAGATTATACTGTCCTATAGATTATACTATACAGGGCCTACACTATTTTTTTAAACAAAAATGCATAGTTTTTGTATGAGAGAAATCAGTGGATAAAAGGAACAAAAAATATAACAAGGTAAATGACAGTTCACATAAAATACTAATCAACTTAAGGAAAAAATAGCAAGTCAACTCATTCTGTAAAAATGTGGTAGTTAATTCGGCGACTGCAGAAGGAAAAAGTAGTTATGATACAACGGGTGGGAAATGAAATTATGCCTATCAGTCAACAGGAACAGTATGAAAAATTGAATAGCTGTCCTTAAGACCCACAGTTTAAGAAGAGCGGAAGGGGTCACAAGTGGAAAGAGTTTAAGAAGCCCTGAATGGACATAGAGGGGAGTGGTTTTCTAACCCTCTTCTTGCTCCTGAAAGCTCTGATAGGGTGTATTTCACACAAATGCCAGCCCAAGGGAGAAAATGGTCACTTACATCAGAGCTCTGCGTTCCTGACCAAACTCAGCTTCGTAGTAGCCATCTCTACAGTCTTTTCCAACTAGATCATGGGGATGTGGTTTGTACGGCTCATTCTTTGTTACCAGAGTTATTCTCACTTTTCCTCTTCCTTTCCCATAGCAATTCATTATCTGAAAAAGAGAAGAAATTTCAAGGAGTAAAATGAAGCCATGTATCATGTACAGCTGATCTGTTCACTACTGACCTCCCCCCCCAAATAGTTTTATTTACATACCATATTCAAACATTGTATGAATGGAATTGGACAGAGATTTCTATAAAATATTAGACAGGAAGGATTAACCTTTTCTTGGCCTTGGGCTCTTGCCTCTAACATCAAACTGTGAAGTCACTTGACTTCACAAAGGGGTAAAACAATGCTCATTTAAAACTACTATTACATACAATTAAGAGAAATTCAAATGTAAATTATAGAATAAATTATTATTGCCTAAATGCACATATAAAATAAGGCAAATTGATTTTAATATAGTACACTTACTGTGACACCAAAAAAAAATTCCTTGAACTCGTATATTTAAATCACATTACAATCAATTTCACTTCAAAAACCATTTAAATACAGGTAAAATTAATCATTCATCATCTTGGTTTGGGCAAACATTTATGATAGTCTGCATTTATTGAATGCCAAGGACCATTATTAGGATAAAGAAGTTACCAAGATGAACAAACAAGTAAGTTTTACTAGAACTGTTTAGAGAAAATACGACTTCAATGAAGAGTCATTAAGAAGGTGAAGCATAGTTTGGTGGAGGGAAGGAAAGAAGATTTTAAACCAGAGGAAATGATTACTATTTGGAGCCGTGGCTCTCAAAACTTTTTGGTCTCAGAACCCCTTTACACTCTTAAAAGTTACTGAGGACCTCCAAAGAGTTTTTGTTGTATTCGCTGTATTAGAAATTAAAGCATCTTATAATTATTATGAAAATCATTTTGACCTTGTGGGAATCCCCCCTCCCAAGTCCCAGCAAAAGAGACCTTGAGTCGCTTGGTTTCTCAAGACCACACTTTGGGAACCACTGATTTAGAGGAAGGGATATAGATAGGTAAAACAGAGTATACGGAGAAAACTAGGAGTACAAACCAGGGTAGAACAAAGTAAAGGGCAATTAGCAATGCAAGAGGAAATCCATGGTAACCTCAAAACTGCACTTTTGAATTTAACTTCATTTTGAAAGGCAACTAGAAAATACTGCAGGGACTTGATAATGAGGGTGGCCTGATCACAATGACACTAGAAGAGAGCTAGCAAAGAGGTTGTTCTAGTTATGTTCCTAAGTCCTATCATGAAGTCTTAATGCCTATATATAGGTGGAGAACAAAGGATGCAAAATGTCTTTTAGAGGACTGGGGGAAACAGCAACATTCCTGATGGTAATAAGAAGTTGGAAAGAGGTAAGAACTTGGGTGTTCATGTTAATGGGATCTATTTTTTAAAATACATTTTTATATTTTTTTGATGGCAATAGGACATCAAAGAGATGGTGAGAAATTTTAAATAAAGAACCAAATACTAGGGCTAAAAATGTCAGTCTGAAAATCATCAGTGAAAAGATGATAACTAAAGACAGGAAAGAAGAACTTCCCAAAGATAAAGTAGAAAAAGATCAGAAACCCTTTAGGCATCCCCATAATGTGTGGGCCAAGGAATAAAAGGAGTCTTTGAAGGAACAATCTGAGAGATGAAGAAAAACCAGGAAGGCAGAGCATCCTGATCATGAAGATCGGAATATTTCAAGAACATTCCATCTTTTAACTTGTATTAACATTTTCCTTTTTTTTTTTATTGTTAGAGAACTCTAATAACCAAAACTCTAGCATTAGAGTTTTAGCATTACGCTAAAATTGGGAAAGCCTGAATTCTGTGGCTTTAACAAGTTTCTTTAACCTATATAAGCCTTAATAGAATAGAAATAGCAAGTTATTTCATTATTAAAAGTGACTTGAAATCTTCAGATTTCAAGATGAAAGGTACTATGTAGCTGCAAATAACAAGTTACCTGCCAAAAAAAACCCCTTTTGTTTTGCTGAATTTCATTTGGCATTTTATGGTAACAATTTCTCTCTTTAAAACTACGTAAGAAAAATAGACATAATAGAATTCTATTGTGTCATAAGAAATGCTAAAAGGGATGATTTCAGAGAAATCTGGGAAGACTTTTATGAAGCAGAGAGAAGTGAACAGAATCAGAACAATTTATACAATAACATAATAAAGACAACTTTGAAACATTTAAGAACTCTGATCACCTTAATGACCAACCATGATTCCAGAGGACCAGTAATAAACTCTACTACTCACCTGACAAGAGTTGACTGATTCAAAATACATGAGACATACCTTATTAGACATGGACAATGAGAGGACTTATTTAGCCAAACCATATGTCTTTGTAACAAGGGTTTTGCTTTTGTTTTTCTTTTCAATGGGGAAAAGGGGGAAGGAAAGAAAATTAATGTTTGTTGGTTGGGGGAAGAAAAGATGTCCATCAACTGGGGAATGGCTAAATAAATTGTGATGCACGAACACAATAGAATATTACTGTGCTGTAGGAAACTATGCTGCTAAAGAATTCTGGAAATCATGGGAAGATTTATATACACTGATGGAAAGTGAAGAAAACAGAATCAGAATATACACAATGACTACAACAATACAAATGGAAAAAATGGGAGCAACAAATGCAAAGGAACACTTCGTAATTACAATAAATAAGCTTGGTCCCAGAAGAGATGCAAGGATGCACTTCTTTCCTTCCTTTGCACAAATGGGTAACTATGAAGGTGGGACAAAGCACACATTGTCAGACTTGATTAATCTATTTGTTAGTTTTGATGAATTGCTTTTTTATTCCCTCTTTTCTACTCTGTTATAAAGGGGGGTTCTCTGAGTAAGGAAAGGGGAGAGATATATTAGAAAAAAAAGGTAATATAGAACTATATCAAGAAAAATTAAAAGAAAAAGAAAAATAGTTTGGCTATTTACAAATTATGTTAGATAAAAGACATCATGGTCTAGTGGTTAGAAAGCTGGCCTTGGAACCAGGAAGACCTGGATTCAAGTTCTACCTCTCAAACAAACTGACCATGTGCTCTGTCTGGGTAAGCCATTTAACCTTTGCAATGGTCTGGGCAATTCTTTAAGATTATAATTTTCAGAGAAGATGCCAAACTATGTTGGTGGAGAGATTTTCCTCACTGGAAGTTCCCTGTACCAATGAAATTACAAATCTGGTTCCTATCATCTCTCCCTGTGCTAAGATTTTACTGTATAAAATTACCATTTGAATCATCACTTTAAATCAAGAATTTTATCCTTCTTCTGGATTGGTATGAAATAAAACTAATATATATAAAGTAATATTATTTCCAATCAGCAAGTGCAGGCATAAGGTCAGGGATAGACATTGTGGGCAGGGTAAAAAAGTGAAAGGATGTTGTTCCTCTTCCTTCTCCTGAGCCTAGATTCCAGGAGAAGAGAATGGGAATCATGGCTGAGGTAGGTGCTAATTTTTTTTAGCCGTAGAGTGGCTCTGAGCCCAAGGGGAAGGAGGATGCCTTCTCTTTATTCTCTATAAAAAGGATCATGATCCACATACTGGTTATGTATGAATTACTTTACCATATTACATTTTTTGATAAAACAATTCATACACCAAAGAATATTATGTCATAGTCTGTCTACAAGGAAACCTTGAGAAAACATTCCTGAACATCTCATCACTTGGTATATATTATCAAAAACCAAACTCCCACCCCAAAATAATCATATCTGATATCTTCAGCATATAGCATCTAAAAAAGTTGCAAGAAGAAAAGTATTGGTGACCATACAGAAAATGCACCTCTTGTAAAATTGTGAAGTTCTTCTGATTGTGTGAACAAGAAAACAGTGGTCTATTACCTGTATAGATGGGTATGTTCGATTATTGTCTGTACTGTGTTCTCCTGGAATGCTCCCTGCTGACCGTCCTTCACATTTATAACGAAAACGCATGCCCCTTTGCCTGGGCTGTTCAATTATTTCTACATATGGCTCATGTCCACCTAAAATTAAAACAAAAAACAGGTGAGGTTAGGGTAGCAATAACATTAGATTTTTAACAGTCTTTATTTTTCAACAGACAAATGTAGATTTGTTTTCTTTACAAGTAAACTACACAGTTGAAATTCAAATAGATTATGATATTGGAAAGGAAGAACTGAGGAAAGAAGGTTTTTTAAAAATAAAATCAAGCTTTCACACAATGGCAGCCCAATTTATTTTTTTAATAGTTGGTAGGATCAATTTGTCCCTAGAGATCTAAAAACTTTGAACTGGCATGAGATCACCACTTCTGAGTTTTCTAAATGAGCACCAGGGGTTCCCCCAAGATTCTTGCAGGAGTGTTAAGAAGATAGCAGTGCTTGAGTGTTTTTAGTGTCAGCTCCAAGAACAAGCAAAGTACAACTGAAAATATTTTATTTAATTAAATTTATCAGTTGTTGTGAACTAATATTTTACAAGAACACGCAGAAAAAATGATACCAAGCTTTTCCTAGCACTTCAAATTCTTCTAGAGAAATGAAGTATAGGTTGACATAAAACTTAAAATTCCACTAAAACTTTTAAGTAATATATGAAAACTAGATAAAATAAGCAGACTTAGCAAGACTTTAAGGGGAAACCAACTCACCAAGATTGGAGACCAAATGGATTTTTCAATAAGATTACTTAAAATGCTTTACTATGTTACAATGTAGGAAAAAATATATATAAAGTGCTTTTTACTTACATAACACTAAAATCCATAATATGCAATTTTGTTCCTTTTTTATCAAATAGCTTCTTATAAAAAAAATTGATCAAGAATACAGATTCTGAGAAATTAAAGCCATCTATAGTCATATGAAAAAATGCTCTAAATAATTATTGATTACAGAAATGCAAATCAAAACAACTCTGAGGTAGCACATCACACCTATCAGATTGGCCAAGATGACAAAACAGGAAAATGATAAATGTTGGAGAAGATGTGGGAAAATTGGAACACTAATACATTGTTGGTGGAGTTGTGAAATGATCCAGCCATTTTGGAGAACAATTTGGAACTATGCCCAAAGGGCTACCAAAATGTATATACCCTTTGATCCATCAATAGCACTTCTAGGGCTATATCCCAAAGAGATCGAACAAATGGGAAAAGGACCCACATGTACAAAAATATTCATAGCAGCTCTTTTTTGTGGTGGCAAAGAATTGGAAATTGAGAGGATGCCCATCAATTGGGGAATGGCTGAGCAAGTTGTGGTATATGAATGTAATGGAATACTATTGTGCTATAAGAAATGATGAACAGGCTGACTTCAGAAAAACCTGGAAAGACTTGTATGGTCTGATGCTGAGTAAAGTGAGCAGAACCAAGAGGACTTTATACACAATAACTGTCACATTATGCGATGACTAACATGTTAAACTGAACCCTTCTCAGCATTACAAGGATCTAAGACATCTCCAGAGGCCTTGGGATGGAAAATGCTGTCCACATCCAAAGAAAGAACTATGGAAGTCGAATCACTATCACTTATTTTTACCTTCTGTTGAGTTTTGTTTCATCTTTCTGATGGTCCCTCCTATTGGTTTTAATTTTTACTTACAACTTCACTAATGTGAAAATATGTTTAATAGGAATGTAAATGTAAAGCCTGTATCAGATTGTGCGCCATCTTGGGGAGGGTGGTGGGGAGTAAGGGGTAGAAAAATTTTCAACTCAAAAGCATATGGAAATGATTGTTGATAAAGCAAAATAAATTAATAAAAAAAAAGAATACAGATTCTGCTTTACAACTAGGTAGCCACTTTCAATTCTCCCCTTTAACTCCCCAACTATACTCCACTGTCTCAGCCTATGAAAGTCTGAAATTGAAATATTTCAATTCAATAAGCATTAAGACTTAACTACGTGCAAGGTATAGCGTTATCACCGATAAACTAAAACAAAAAATTAGTAAATATCATAAAAAGAGCACTGGAATTTGAAGTCTGAGGATCTGGGTTTGATTCCAGCTGTATGTACTACCTGGATGATCTCAAGCCTTTCGGGGCTTCAGTTTCCTCAGACATAAAATGAAGAAGGAACCGAGGACCCTTCCAGCTCTAAATATAACCCTATAATGTGGCCCTTCCTTCAAAGAGTTTACATTCTATTGGAACGATAGACTATGTACACAGAGAAGGATTCTGAAGAGGGAAAGAGGGATCAGGAAAGGCTTCTTTATTCCTTACAGGCTCAGGATGGGGAACCAGTATTCTCTTTCAAGGTTTCGGCATCTGTTAAAATGCAAGGACCACTGAAAGAGACAGTAAATGGCACTATTAATAACTAGGAGAAAGAAAGGCAGCATTTAGCAGTATTGTAGTTTTACTAAACAAGAAATGAACAGAATTTGTGACTAAAATGATGACTATTACAGAGCAGAACTTTAGCTTTCTATTGCAAATTTTCATAAATTTGCATTCATTTTATTTACTGACCATAGGTCAGGTTTTCCTGGGCCTTATTGGCATTCTTGGGGAGGGGTTGATTAGTGCTTCAATAGATTATATCATTATTTATTTGTATCCCATGAGTACAAGAATAAATTATTTCTTTTTCTTGGTGAGGCAAATAGGGTTAAGTGACTTGCCCAGAGTCACACAGCTAGAAAGTATCAAGTGCCTAAAGTCATATTTGAACTCAGGTCCTCCTCACTCCAGAGCTGGTGCTCTATCTACTGTACCACCTAGCTGCCCCAAATAAATAATTTCTTAAGAGGTAACATTATGAAGAGAGGCCACGTGGGACAGCAACTAGGAGTCAGGAAGACAAGAGATATGGTCTTGGCTCTGATACAAAACAACTTTATGAGTCACTTAACTTGGCCACCCCCAGGCAACTCTAAGACAATAAATTACTGTAGGAAGGAGTTTGCACATTAAGAGTTCTTTATAGTGAAATCAAAGGTAAAGAAGCAAAAAGTCCAGAACAAAACACGATAAAATTTAATCTCAGCAAGCACATTTAAAGCAGTATTTCCATTTACTGAATTTGAGTAGCTTCAGAAGGGGGTGTAGTGTGTGTGTGTGTGTGTGTGTGTGTGTGTGTGTGTGTGTGTAATGATGAAAATGATGAATTAGGTGGAGACTGTCTTCTGGCCCTCCAATACCCATTTCTCTCCTTGGTGGGGCTGCCTCCTCCTCCCTAACCCTTAATTTGTCTTCATACTCCTCTCCCCACATGATGAAAACTTATACTTGAGGAAAAATCTGATAAACTCATTCATATTAGGTTATAATAAGGAAATCTAACCATCTGCTTTTAATCATATCATTAGATAAGCCTTTCCATCCAGACATCTTTAACTAGGTAGTGGGTAGGACTTATTTGACTTTAGTCTGACCATACATTTTGATGATCTTATCAACGAATAAAGAAGAAAGTGGGGGTTTTTTTGGGGGGATATAGATTGGATCTATGATTTCATCATTGTAGGGAACTCCTAGTATGGAAACTCCATCTAAGTAACTGGTCTATAACTTACTGTCTTAGTGAACTCCTCGGGGGCACTGAGAGGCAGTGTCACTTGCCTGTGGTCACATAGCTAGCCTGTGTCTGAGTGGGAAATTTAGACAGCATCATATGTGAGAGAAGCAAAAGTTTTCACTTAATACTCCTTCAGCAGAGTAGACGGAGGTGAGGGGAGTTCAGTTACAGGTAGCTGAAAGAGGTACTGCAGCTTGCGTGTTCCCATAAAGAAATTCCTAACTTGACATGCCCCACCCTTCTCCCTTCTTGGGATTTCCCCTTCTGGCTCTCCTTTACAGGAAGAAGAGCCTCCCCTGCCCTCCCTCTACAAGCAGGGCCACATTCCCCCAGCACAGGAGAAAAATCCCAGTGCCATCTTCCCCATCAGGTCTTGTGTGAGAAGGAACCTAGCTGGGTCTTCTCCAGTGAAGCAGAAAGAAATCCAAAATCACTCTAAAAATCCATTAATTGGACCAGATGAAATATGTCACACTTCCAAAATGAAGATTCTATACCTTTGAAACACTGTAGTAGTTTTCTCTCACTCCACTGAATTTGTCTTAATTATTTCCTCTATTCTTTTCCCATAATGAATTACTGAGTTGATTTAAGGGCACATTTCTTGGTGCCTACTCCAGGCAGCAGTCACCCGGTAGCCAAAACTGTAGGTTTATTTTGAGCTTTTCTGTGCTTTAGGTGTATCCATAAAATGAGGAAGTTGGATTAAATAATATCCAGGATCATACCTCTAACATTTAAAGGTTATCATTCTTCCTCTAATGCTGATATCTAAGTCTGTGGAGGACATTAGAGAAACTAAACCCATGATTAATAAGACTTCATTTAGATTAAAAAAAATTTAATGTTTTATAAAAGAGACTGTCTACAACCTCATATTTTCACATCCCACCCTCGTCCTGATTTCTTTATTTCTACTTCCCTATATGGAGATATGTTTATCTCTTTATATAAACAATTTTTTTTAAAATTTCCTAGCTATAAGTCATTGACTATAAGGAACAAAACAGTAACATGCACCAGCTATTTCCCCAGATAATTAAAATACTTTGTATTTTCAAAGCACTTTTCTTTGACAGAGTGAAAAGAAAGGTGCTAAAATATATCCATCTGTGGAACAGAGAAAATGAATACCTACCATAAGCCAGTGAATGACAGGAAAAATGAAATGTTTAACCAAGAATACTATCAGAGAATCACAGAATCTTAGAATTGAAGGGAACATGGAGATCCTCTGGTCTAACCTTCCCTTTCAGAAAAACGTCAAATACCTGGCTATGGGAAAGTCTAGTTCACCTTTAACAACAATTCTAAGTAGGATTTTTACTATTACATTCTCCTATGAGAATTATACTACAGATCAAAATGCACTTAAATTATAGCAAACGTTATGCAAAAAGAAAACTAGTTATGGAAGCATTTAGGCAGATAATTGATAGGCATCTTTGGCAGTGCTTTCCTCATAAACTCTGAAGAATATAATCA